TAATTTTTTCTTCTTTATCTGTTGCTACCAATAACGTATCAATGTTTGTTGCATTAGCAATGGAAGGCTATAATTAAAATGAAAAATTATAAGTATGGTAATAGAAAGATAAATTAAATAATAATAATAATAATAATAATAATAATAATAAAAATTATGTTTCACTTACTCTTGCCGAGAGAGATGTAGTTGGAGTTGTAGATGATTTTGCTTGAGTGGTACTTGTCGTTATCGTTGTTGTTGTAATAGTTTTATACGGAGTAGTAACAGGTGCCAGCATAGCTGCTAAAGTTTTTGGGAGGACTGGACCTTGAGGTCTTGTGGGAGGCTCCTGCCCCTGTAATCCATATTCTATGTACTCAATTAAATGTGGTGGGAACTCACTGAAATGCTGAATTGCCCTGACGTGCTCACAGTATGTTTGGTAGTCTTTTAAACGACTCTTGAAACGATCCAGAGCTGTTATGCCGAAGTAATACATCTTGCTGCCTTCTGGTTTCCTGAGGGCATCCAAAACGAATCTTAAGGCTAATCCAAGTGTCATGTAACTATTAACCAATCCTCTTTCAATAATTCCTCCGAACAATTGTGCCGTGATTTGTAACTCTTTATCGGGGTATTGAGGAAAAAACCGATATTCCTCGAATAAATTTCGTAACATACAGTTGAATACTTCTCTCTCTCTTTTACTACCAGAATCTTGAAATTTTTTCAACATATCAAGAACTTCGTCGATCGACAATGTTGGATGTGGTGGATGATTGTATATACGTTGAAAATAACTATTCGCTTCATCTTCGATTTCTTTGGAAACATTTTGTGACATATCAGGAAATAAGTTTGACGTTTCAGGTATTCTTGCTTTTTCGATGCCCGTGGGTGGTCCCAGTCGACCCAATCCTCCAATTGTTGTACTGCCGGGTAAAACAGATGGTCCTTGAGTACCAACTGGTCCTGAATGCAGCTGAGAAGATAATGGTAACATTGGAAATGGACTTGGAGAAGGTCCCATAAGACGAGAAGGAGAACCAGGTGCTGATACTAAAGGTCCCAAAGCGCCAGGTAAATTGAATGCAGAACTGCTTGGTGGTCCAAGACTGGAACCCAAACCCATAGATGCAAGACTTGAACTCAAATTTCCAAGCGGGTCTACTTGTTTCGAAGAGAACAGCTATAGAATTTAATAAAATATTTTAGCACACAGTGAATGATCAATTATTTATAAATAATTATACCAAGTTTTATACCTGTCCCCCTAATGTCGCTGGATTAAAAGGTTCTAGTCCTCTGTGTCTTAAAACTCCTGGAGGTGGAGGTCTACTCATTGTACTTTTGCTCAACATTAGACTACAATTTTGTACCATTGTCATTATTGCATCGGAACACTCTTGAGAAACACTTCTTTAAAAGAATTTTAAAAGTCAAAGAATATTACCAACGTTATGAGCTTTTAGAATGAGCAAAATATAACATACCCAGCACACACTTGCAAGCAAGCAAGCATAGTTGTTAACGTCTCCTGTGGAAGCTGACTCGCCTTTGGAACCGTAATATCTTCCTTTATTCCGGGACCCATCACTTGAGGGCAACGTCTTTGTAAAAATTTTACACAAGCGGCGACAAAAACCTCTCCTTGCTCTCTAATCTTATCCGTCAACCATTTCTCTAATTTCAAATATTCTCTTCTGGAGGCCAAACAGGCTAAGTCAATAACAAATGGATATGACTGAGCAGTAAGTAAATGAGTTAACGCTTTAAGGTCCTGAGCAACGTCAAGAATACGAGATAGCCTTGTTTGGTCGTGATCTCCGCGGATATACCATTCTGCCATGGCGTGCATAATGATAGATTTTATTTTAACTGTATTCCCATGCCACGCATGATGCAGTATAACGGCAGAATTTGGATGATTCCCGAGAAAAATAGGCATCAATGTACTAAGTAATTCTTGTCTTAGTATAGTAACAGGAGCATTAATTTGTAATAGCGCTAGTACAAGAACATCGGGACAGTGCTGAATGGGCCATTTAAATATTTCTTGAACTGGTCCATACAGTCCTCTTTCTGCCATGTGTAGAAGTAATTCAACTACGTTTAAAGATCTCCATGTTTGTGCTTCTTTACTGTCACTTTCTGGTGCTGCTTTCAAAACATCAACAGTTACAGAATGATATGGATAATCGGCAAAACAAAATATATCTGGACATTTTAGAATTTGTTGTACTAAAGAAAATTGTCCTTCTACATTGTCCCAGTGACGATAAAAAAGTTCCACAGGAAACATATCAGGTGGATATCCTTGATGTTGCAAACCCATCCTCAGTCCTGTGATTAACAAACTCAATCCTTGTCTATCTTTGACAACGAATTCCGCATGATCCAATTTAACTATTACTTCATTCCATGATAGTGTGGATTGCTGAAATTATGAATAAATTTAATATTGAATATTCGATGTTGTAAACTATCAGGTATCGATTATTAATACTTACAATTTCTTTTAAAGCTTGAATAAAGACTTCAACATTCCATGTAGTGGGTGCAACACTATCAGCTGATTTTTCTTTATTTGCATCTTGTGTTGCTCCTGAATTACCCCAAAATGATTGTAAACCTCCAGCATCGTCAAGACTATTATAACTACGTGCCATGTGAGCCAAAACTCTGGCAGCACATGCTGGAGATATTTCTCTAGCTCCTAGGCCAGCTAAGGCTGAACGACATTCGTCAACGCTACTAGTGAATCCATATCCTAATTCCATAATCAATTCTACTAAAGAATTTCCATCCTAAAAGACACGTGTATACATATACATAAGCAAATATATTTCGAAATTCAGAAATTACAACAAAATTACTACATAGCAACAAACGTTACTTAATTATTTTACCATTTGATTAACAGCCATGTTTAATTCAATTTTGGCTTGCGAAGTTTCCCCGTTGTCTGGGTACAGGAGTGGTGCTAACACCACTGGTACCAGCTCACGGGGAAAGTCGCGCCTTAAATTCTTGAGAAATTTTTCTTTTGCTTCTGATGAAAGGCCAAATTGATTGGCTGAATGAAAAGCCTGAGACAATATCAGATGAAGAACTTCAGGCAACGAATCGTGCAATCCTTCTTCCTGATGCTTATTACTTGTTTCAGAATTAATATAATTTTTTATTAACTCAGGCAACTGCTTTTTTACGTGTTCTAGAGCTAATGTACGAATTTCAGTATTCTCAGAATGCAATAATGCAATTGCAAATGCAACTTCTTGTACCAGAGTTAAGCCAAGGACCTTTTTCAAACGTAAAAAAAACTTTGGAGATGGATTCAAAGTCTGAAAAAGTGAAATTAAAATTAATAAAAATTGTTTATTTTATGAAACTATAAAATATACTTTTTTTAAATACATATATTCACAGTAATTTTGATAGCCTTAACCTAAATAAAAAGTAAAATAAACCTTTTGTTGATGAAATGGATGATCTATAGCAAAGCACAGATTAGAAATAAAAGAAGGTTTGCTAAGAAGATTAGTACACTCTTGTTTCAGAAGTTGCACTTGAAAATAATCTTTTGCACTTGATTCTGGTGGTTCTCCTGTTGAAAAGTCAATGCACGACAGCAAAGAGCGCAGCAAATGTCTGTCTGCCTCCAAACCCTTCCACTGCACCAGCTACAATATAATCATAAATTTAAAAATGAACATATACCATATGTATATAAAATGTCTATGTAAATATAGTAAACACAACTTCTGAAATCTTATAACCTTTTACTATTGAAGATGAAAAAATATATGTAAACATTTCGACAAAAACTTGAACCAAATAAATGTTTAGCAATTTATTTATTTGTTAAGTATTTAAAACATTATCATTAAAGATCGAAAAACGTGCATTGAGAAACCTACAGTTTCATCATTCGAAAGAATACGTTGGAACATATACAAATTACGGAAAGAGGCTAAGTTCAAGATGTATTTCATACCGCGTGAATATTAAATAGCTAATAGTTGTGAAATAATCATAATAATTGCTACTTAAGAGCACATTGAATTTTTCTGATAAGAAGATTTATCTTAATAAATGAAATCAGATGAAATTGATAATAATATTCATAAAGCATATTGCGCTGTTTCGAGGACGGCGTGTGATGAACAGAAGGTGGTAGGGGAGGGCATAAGAGATGCAGCAGTACAACAGGTTTTTTTCTACTTACAACTGATATTTCTTGGCAGCTGTCCCGAAAATTTTTCTTATTTAAATTCGCAACCAAATAACTGATTTGTGACAAAGTAAAAGACAACGAGTCCAGGTTCATAGTTCCATGAATACGACCTCGAAAGCTTCAAACGTGTTTGAAGCTTTCTTCGGTATCCACGAATTGCCTCCCCGGATTCTCTCCTCGTTAAAAGCATGAAAACTACATTGGCACAGTCCTACGACCAACATCGGGATTAATATTTTGAAATACAATTTCAAACCAACGTCATGGCGAGCACAACAAGATAATACTGAAAACGTAACACTACTCAAGATCACACCATATAACCAGTTACACTCTACTGGTCTCTTTTTCCATCTACTTCGGTAGACTTCTACCTCTACAGGACAGCCGGTTCAAAGTTTCTTTAATACGCCACTAGAGTGCGTTAATATTCATTCCAAAAGTTATCAAATTTTAACATTTCCTATGTAAATTTCTATTTAATTGCAATAAACAATTCTACAGATATTTAATCATGAAGAACTCTGTTTTCTGAATTTGAAACCATACATGACTAAGAACAAAATTACGTTTACTAGATTTTCATTAGTAATTGCAAAGACAAGTTGACCAACTTTAGTATCGAAATTGATTCGTTAAAAAGAAATAAAACAATTTACTAGAATATTTTTCTAAAATTATAACAAAAATATAAATTATTGTTTATAAAATAATGTTAATTCTGATATATCACATCATACGCTTTATTATCTTATGTTGATTGTATTTTGTTCTATTGTCGCGCCGTACTTGATTCTTATATCAAGTCCATGAAATTGAAAATACATAATAATCTTTCAGTATATGTATATTATCGTTTTAAAATAAAATGATAGCTTTTATAATATACTTGATCTTAAATTTAACTCTGAAATTCGATCGAGAAAATTGATTCTAGAATTTCCTAATTCTTGAATCAGATCTACTGAAATGCGATCTTAAAACGTAATGTCACATCTGTCGAGTACGTTTTGTTATGAATGATAGATTTAGCATCAGTTCTTTAATAATTATTGTTTAAAAATGGATAGGTCTACTCTAAGAGAAGAAATCCTTGAAAGAAAAAAGGTGAAGAAAAAACTTAGGTAAGATAAATGCAGCACATTATATGAATGTTAATATAAAAAGAAATGTTTATAGTACACTTAAGTAATTATATTTTTGTTTAAGCAAGGCACAAATGCAGTTAGCAATAATTAAGAAAAAACAATGTGATGCTAAAGCTCTTACAATTGTTGAACAACTTTTAGAACCTAAAATAGATTCTGACTGGCTTTTAGATAATGTAAGTATAATTTTTCATTACAATCTTAGTGTAACATAAAAATAGCTTTGTATAATTATATCTTATTACAGCTAAAACATATTAACAAAAGTCATATGGAAGATGTGATTGAAGAAAGAGGAATAACCAAATTATGTGGTTATGTATTATGTAGTAACGCATTAAAAACTATCATTGAACAACAATATTATATATCAACAAAAAAGAACAAAGTTTATGATGTAACCAAACGTAAAAATTTTTGTAGTTCACGTTGTTATGGAGCTAGCAATTATCTTTTACAACAAATGCTTACAAGTCCTCTTTGGTTAAGAGATAAAGAAGAAATACCAGTCTTTAAAGTATTGCCAGCTAAAGATGAATTAGAAAAAAGCATACCTGGAGATGAGATTCAGTTCAATGACACAATTGTAATATTAAATTCTGATAACAAAGATGAACCAGCAGAATCTAATACAGAAGTTGATGCACATGATGAAGAGAATGCAGTAGAAAATTCTGAAACAGTTAATACATACATAGAATTAAACAATAGTGAAATGCCAAGTGTTTCTAAAGAAGAGAGTTCAAAAAATTTGGATGAATTTGGAGATATAAAAGATGTACCCATTGATTCCAAGGGTATGATTGATAATGTTAAACAATGCATGGATAATAATGATGATGATAAAAAAATGTTTACCTTAGAAAATAGTATTATACTAGATGATTCTAAGATTGATGATACAAACAATTTAAGTGATACTGTTTCTATAAATAAAGATGCGGATCAAAGTGTAAAAAATGATCAAGAAAAAAATAATGTAACTATCAGTAAGCAAGATACAAACATTAGTAATGATGGTGCACAAAAAATGGGAAAAATTCAACAAAATAAGCCTAAACGAAAAAACGTTACTAAAGATAAGCAATCGAGTGAATTTTATAATCTTGCAATGAATATTGAACATAGTATAAAAGGGTGGATTACAGAAGATACAATTTCTTTATTGTCAGGCGAAGAAGATACTAAAACTCGATTATTGGAAAATATAATACAACATGATAGATACTTGCACTTATGTAAAAAATTAAATAAGTTACAACTGGAAGATGAAAAAGATGATAATACAGACGTAACAAAGAATACTTTAAAACCTTTGCCACACTTGTCTGTTCTTCAAGAAGAAGGACAAAAAATGGAATTAAAAGTAAATATGGTACATGTAATTTAAAAAATGTAAATGATTATTGGTGCAATTATTATTTTTAGGTACGGGCATTCTACAAGGGCAGTACGATTGTAGAAGATCCTAAAAATACTGCAAAAGATGTCGAACAGGGTAGTGACTTGGTTCCCGTATTACCTTTGATAGATTCACATGCACCGAAAGCGCTTCGACGTCGAATCTTTCTAGATAAACTTAATAGAATGTAATATCACTCCATATTTATTTAATATCATAAATTTGTTTTTTTTATATTAAATTCAACTTTCTAACTTTTTTTAGATTACCTGATTTATTAAGGGCGTTAGCGAGTAATAAACTGCCACAGTATATTTACAGCAATGAAAAGAGTGCTTTAATTAAAGCACTAGTTAATACTTTTTCATTATCAGCCACAAATATTATTTTTAAAACTGCTGAATGGACTCTTGTGGGTCTTGTTATTATTAAAATGTAAGTGTTGCGTTTATTTATATTTTAAGAAACGTTACTAATATTTTTGTGTTCATTTCTTTAGGTTGAGTATGATAGATCCACAGTTGAAATTTTTATTATCAAGTAAACAGGCATCAATGTATATTTCGATGATTTTGATGTCATATAAATTAGATCCAAACTATTTGAACCGATTAGTGATGGAATTGACTAATATAAAAATATCGAATATCGATAATACTACAAATCTATAATCTATTTTATATTATGTGCACTATTTATTCTTCACAAATAAAAAGTATGTACTTTTTAAACATGTTAGATTTGTGTACGTTTATAATTCCTGTAAAATAAAATAAAAATAAAAAAAAAACTAGAAAATACGAGTGTTTATAAGTAAAATTAGTAAATTATATTTTTCAGTGCATTTGATATTTAAACAATTGTATCACGTAATTTTTACAGTGAACCTGGTGTAGGTACACCGGTAAGAGGAGAAGGTGGACAATCTAGCCCTAATGTGTCCATCTGAGCTGCTGTTGTTAACTGCTCTTCTGTAGAACGGCTTCCAATTTTATCACGTAAAGCTTCATAAAGATTATGTACAGCTTCATTATGCTTAAATAATAAAACGTAATTATAGATGAAATATATTTTATATGAGCCTTTTTATTAATAAAACTGTTACCTGACTAGTTGGTTGAAGTGCTTTCATTAACGTATGTAAACGAGTTGGCGGTAATTTTGGATGAATATACCAAAGTAGTTTTAACAAATGGCGTGTAACATTATCTCTACCCAAACCTGCTAGGAAAAATTCATCGAATATTACAGTACAAAATGATTCATTAGAAAATTCATCAGCCATATTCAATATTAATAGGGACACCTACAAATCACAAAATTCAGTTTTATATAATGTACAGATAATGAAATCATTACACAAGATATAAATTACGTGAGTTTACCAAAGTATGTAAAAAGGGATCTTCAAATGCACGTTGCGCTTGACAATTCGGTAAAGTAGCTAGTACTCTCATTAATCCTCTAGCATCACCTCTTCCTCTTCCAACTCCACCACCACCTCCTACATGCAATGCATAATACATAGATAAAACAGCAGCAACTCCTGAAAGTTGTGCATATGCTTGACAAGCATCAGGAGGTGGGCCAGAATGTTCTATGATAGCAATTGCACTCTCTCTCTCATCCGGCGGAAGTTTGCAATTTAATTGTCTTATTTGATCATCTACCTAAGAAATAAATTATCTCTTATATTAGTTTATTATTATTGTTATTTTTACTATATTATGTTCGAAGTTACTTATTATAATATATACCATTAAAGACATAAGTGCAGGTAAAAATTTTGTGACAACTTGACTGTCTAATTTTGGCTCCTTGAAATCTTGTGAATCAATCATTTGCCAGGCAGATAAACCTAATGCAAGCATTCTTAGTAACAGTACAAGAACTGCGTTTTCTCTAGGTAATGCTTCCCCATTTATCAAATGAAGTGCAATTTTTATTGCACTACTAGCAAGAAAGTTTACTGCATATGGATCACACAATATCATACTCAGATCTCCTAATACTTGTTCTTGTCCTCTCTGCATAAAACTGTAGATCATTTCACTTATCTAGTATAGCAAGAAGTAGTATTACGAAGTGCAAACGGTTTACTGTATACCTTTATACTATCTAGAAAACCTTGTAACTCACGGGACCTTTTGATATCAACATTTTTTTCTCTGATACATGCATCAAGACACCAAGTGAATTTATGACATGGATCAACAGAAATGATGTCCTGTACCTGAAAATTATGTATTTAATTAATTAATATTACACTAGTATTACATAATGTTATATGACAATTTAATGCAATACAAACTGACCTCTAAATCATGTAAGGCCATTAATAATTCAGCTCTTAAGGTACAATAATGTATATTTTTTGTACGCAAAAATAGAGTCCTTAAGAACTGTAATACCATATCATATAATTTTACACTATGCCCAATCATATGAGCTAGCTTTTGTACTACCTCACCTTGTCTTCGTACCTTAACATATAAATTAAACAATTTTATGAAAATTACAATTTGTATTTAAAAAGAAAAATTATGCTGTATACCTTTGGAGAAGGCATGAAAAAGAGACTATTTAAATTTCGATGATCAAAGAGTATTTGTTCTTTTTCAATAATATATCTGCTAAATAATGGAGAAACTTCATCTCCAAATAGGCTTTGATTATCTTTCCAAATTTGCCTTTTAACTTCTGTATCTGCATCATTATACAATTCTTTTTCGCGGACAAGAACCCGTAAATATTTATCTTCTATATGTGGTGTGTTTCTTAAAATACACATAACAACAGGTCTCAATGCTGCAACTCTTACAGCTGGGAAACTTTTGGACAATAATTCCTTTAGTCTTTTATCTCCTGCTGAACCTTTGTCTGCTCTTTCTGTACCAATTTCATTAATTCTTTTTATAAGCTTTTCTCTCAATTCTTCCAGGACTGATGCATGAAAATCTAATCTTCTTACGCCATGAAGATCAAGCAAAGGTAACATAGGCCTTAAGGATGGCAATAAAATACCATTCTCTAATTGAAATTCTTCAATTGCTTTTAATGGATCTGTACAACTTGTTAAAGCATCTCTTAAAAAACCTTGTCCAGGTATACCAAGATCATCCAAACCATTTCCAATCTCACAACTATTTTTTACCGTATTCATTGTTATTTCTTTTTATACGGAATCTTCTTCCATAAACAATACATATATTTATTTAGAATATAATTCTGCAATTATTTAAAAATTATTTCATAATATTAGAAAATCACAGACAAATATTTTTATACTTATATTTAAACGAACCTCTTTCGTTTGTTACTCTGTATGGTGCATATGTGTTTTACCAGTATATTGTTAGGCATTCCAGCATAACAGTAAATTTAAAATAGTCATATCCTTATAAACTTCAGCGATTTATCACAATTCTTTTCTATTTTATTGTTTATTATTAATTAGTTAATTTATATACTTAAACATTAATTTCATACTGAATTCGTATAACCTGTATACGGCACCTGTATGTGAACAGATATAACCTATCTATCCTCATTTGACGAAACCACACATATGTATTCTATATACGTATATATATATATATGTATGTTTATATACAGATAATACAAATGTCAGCTTAAATGAATGTATGTGATCTACGAAGATCAAAATTTTAGAGAAATTATATTTAGATTGCTATTATTTTGAATATGATATGAATGAAAGTGTAAATAAGATATTGAAATCGAATGATATATAAGTAATTTCTTCATTCGAAAGAAATAAGCCGTATGCGACGAGTTTCATTCATAACAAAGTAGTATTATAGGTTACTTTTTTACTTATTATGGCACAATCTACAGCTAGTGGAACATCTTCTCGACGATATATAAGAGAACATGATGTTAACGTACCATCTTCGTCACGCTATGTGGACAGTGAGTGGGAAACCAAAGAGGTGATTACTGTAACATAAATTATGACATAATACTACAATGAGATACTTTAATATATCTATAATATTTTTAGGCTTTACGACAAAGGGAACTTGAAGAAGCACGTGCACGAGCAGCTCAAATGGAAAAGACAATGAGATGGTGGTCAGATTGTACTGCTAATTGGCGTGAAAAATGGAGTAAAGTACGTAATGAGAGGAATATGGCAAGGGAGGAGGCAAAGATATTTAGAGCAAAGTTAGAGATTGCTGTAAAGGATGCAAACAGTTATAAACATGAGTGCCAGGAACTTGAATTACAAAATGATCAATTAAAAAAAGAAATGGAAAAAATACATATGATATTGTTAAAACATGCTGGACAATTTGATCAACAAATTTTTACTGTTTTAGAATCAGATCCACAGTTAAGAAATACATTAGGTATAGATGAATTAATCAAATTTTACAATAATGTAGAACAAAGTGAACGTGTAAATACTCAGAAGGATTTACTTACTTGCAAATCTTCACTTGAAGAATCTAATGTATGTTTAGGAGGTCATACTATTTTACCAGATAGAGATATCGAAGAGTATGTACTACAAGGTGCAGTGCCAAAGCATGCTGTAGAATTATATAAAGAAAGTCCTATTAATTCATTAGATAAAGATATTGCAAGACTGGTTACAGATGCAAGTTCTGTAGAAGATAATGTAGAGAAAAATCAATCTTCGTTACAAACATCTACAGATGAATCTTATGCACAAAAAATATTAACACTTCAGTATAAATTAGATGAAGCTACAAAAACTATATCTACAGAAAGAGAGTAAGAATGTTTAGTATTCGTTTATGTGCATAAATTTTGTACAATAAACAAATGTTTAATTTTGTTTTTAGAGAGAAAAATTCTTTACACCGTGGTATGGAAAAATTAAAAGCAGAAGTGGTACAACTAAGAAAACAATGTGGAGAACTAGTGGAAAGTAAAGATGAAGCTATAAAAGAACTACTTGAATTAAAAGAACGATTTCAATTCGAACTTAGTGACGTGCAAGCTGATATAATTGATCAAGCTTCAAGTAGAGAAGGAATGAATCGTCGTTTATGTGAACTTAGAGCTGAAGTAATTTTTATGGATATATAATTACAGAAATAATTAAAAATATTTAAATGTTTTTTTAATTGTATGATTTCAGCTAGAAAAGCTTCAGGCCGAAAATGCTGCGGAATGGGGAAAACGAGAACGTCTAGAAACAGAAAAAATTTCTTTAGAAAGAGAAAATAAACAACTTCGCAATGAGTTACACGATTTACAAGAAAGAATAGAGTTACGACGATCACGTCCAGTTTCCACATCTGACAGTGATACCAGACAGTTGCAACAAGAGTTCTTAGTTAGAAACGTGGTTTGTATTATATACCAACATTTTAATGAAAACGTAATGAACATATTCTTAATACATATTTGTATTTCTTAGACAATATTAAAAAAATCGTTGGAGGAAAAAACTACAGAACTCTCGCACGCTATGAGAAGATCAGAACAATACGAAGCAGAGGTAAAGAGAGTAAGAGCAAGAGTAGAAGAGTTGAAGAAGGAATTAGCTTCAGCTCAGGATGAGGTAGATGCTGCAGCTAATAGTGTTCGTAAATTACAACGAGCAAATGAGGATCTTCTAGAGCAATTAGAATCTGCTAATGTGCAATTGGAACATTTTCGAAATAGGTAAATAAATTTAATACTCGTCAATAGTTTTTGTAACATTTACATTTTCCTACTTAAATTGTGGAACTTATACTGACAATTAATTTGTTATCAGTACTGATTCTTACTCAGTAGATGTAGGAATGGGACAAGCTGTTGAAGCAAAATTATGTATAAATGATGATAAATTAACAAATGGTAGGTTTTTACATTTTAATAAATTTGATATATTCGAGTTTATAATTCTATCTTATAAATACTGTTTCAGAGTATGAATCTCAACAAGCCTAGTATTCACTCATTTCAATAATAACATTATATTTAATTTGAGCGATGATTATGGTACTTGGAATGTAAAAAGCATTTTTTTATGTTCTAAGATATATATTACCAATTTGGTTAGCAATACCTTTTACTTTAAAAGAACGCTATTAATATACGAGGTGTCCGGCTACAGGTAGGCATTCTTTGAAGGGGTGATAGCTGAATTGATTATGAATATCCTTTACCAAAATACTTGTTGAGGTTTAGTTTTTGAATAATTCATGAAAACACTGACCAATCAGAGCACACATAATGCGCGGGTTTAGTCACGAGAGTGTCTCTACGAGACCGAACTTAATCGTGATCGCGAACAAACTACTCGGCACCGCGTCAAACTCGGTTCGCAGCCGACACTGAGCGGCTGCGTCTGCGCACTACGCAGCTGAGTTTGCGCACTACGCAGCTGAGTCTGCGCGCTACGCGGCTGAGTCTGCGCACTACGCGGCTGAGTTTGCGCCCTACGCGGCTGAGTCTGCGCACTACGCACGCTGTGATTGCCCAGTGTTTTTAATTAATAATTCAAAAACTAAGCGTTAACGAGCATTTTGGCAAAGGAAAAAATTGTTCAGAATCACCCCAGCTACCACTCCTTCAAAGGATGCCCACCTGTAGCTGAACACCCGGTATAAGTATTATTTATATAATAATTTCGAGTAATGAAAAGTCACTATCTGTTTCAGTATATTATTGTTTAAAATCATTTGTTTCTTCTTTCAGCTTTATATCATTTTTTTATTGTATATATTATTTTTTAAAATATTTTTTACCTAAACAAATTTGTGAATAAGACTTTGAATATTTTCTTACTTGTAAAAAGTTTACATTCCAATATATTACATATATTTTAAACATGTTTATCGTATGTATATAAGTAATGTATATAACTTAATATGTATATGTAATTACAAAGTTTACCTGTTACCTAAAGACTGGTATAATTAGATCATTATTTAGATGAGAGATGTTCAATGATACCTGATATTTATAATTAAAATTTTTGCTCTATTATAAATGTTTGTAATATAAAAAAAGTAACAAATCGTAAGTGTATTTATGTCTATGTCACATAGTAATTCTTATCTATTTAAATTTACATTTGTAGTAGACGTTAAGAAAATATTCAATGTATATTTATTATTGGATGTTATTCATTAATGAAGGAGAGTAGGAAACAGAATTTTTTATTTGTTTAACGTGTATTTTATTGATAAAAAAAAAGATAAATACTAAAAGCTGATGTAGCATTATCAAATTAATAATGTACACTTAGTACAAGTACCTTGATAAAAATGAGATGCAGTACGTATGTATGAAAAAGATAATAGAAGTATGATTATATTCATAAAGTGTATGAATGTTCATAATGTTCATATTAATGGAAAAAAAAAAAGAAAGAAGAATGATCTAAATTGTAATAAAAATTATCTCTGTAATATTAGTATGGTATATAGTAATCTATGAAGAAAATAAAAGTTTTTATAAACATAATATGACGATTCAAAGTTAATAACAATTGTCTAACATTTCATAGCTGTACCATCTGGGTTTGTTGGTATTTTTGGTTTACAAATTTTTGTTCTTCCATTAGAACCATATACGATATTACAAGAAAATGTAAAATAACCACATGTTGAACTTTTAGTATAATAACGATGTTCATACTTCCTTGGTGAATTTTTACTACCATCAATTTTACCAGCAACACTGTTCGTTACTGTGTAGTAACTTGGTTTCATTGGTATATTAGCTGTAGGTTTTGAATTTTCTATGTTGGACGAAACATAATCTTCAGCTAGTCTTTCACGATTAGTTTTAAGTGATCTGGTTTCTGAAATAGGCGATTTATTCCCGTGACTAACATTCGGTTCTACTGGAACTAGAGAAATTGATTGAGATTGAGATTTCCCATCACCGTGGGCGATAGTTTCGCTACCAGCTACGGATGTTACTCTGCCACGGAAACCAGGCGGTATAGTGTATCCTGATACCGACTGTCCAGGTTGAAGCATATCACCAACCTGTGCTGTGTTCGTATCCTGCTTTACATGAATATCATATTGATTTCCAGTTGCAAGATGTACCGCTTGTGATTGATGATTAATGTTTCGTTCTTCCCAATCATCTTCTTCAGCATCATAGTCTTTATAATCATCTAACATATCATCTGTTTGCGATTCTGTATTAAATTGAGTTTGTGAGTTACCTACATTTTTTGAATTTTCATTTGTTGATTGTTTAATGAAAACTGCTTTCTGGGAACTAGAACTTGTCTGTAGACCTTGCTGAAGTTTATCTTGATTGTATTCATAATCAGTGTCAGAAGATGTATTTTCTGTTTCGCTATTATTATTTTTCACAATTTGCGGAATGTAAGATGGTTTGAATAGCTTAAATGGTTCAGTATCTGTGAGATTAAAGTTGAACGGTTTTCTAGAAGCTGCTGCACCAGATCCTGATCCTGCTTGTGCAGCACCGGTATAAGTAATTCCATATTGAAAGGATCCTTCTAACTGAGATTGAGATTGTCCCCTGTGCGTTCCACTTTGAGCGGAGGCTGTTCCACCTCCGCGGTAAGGTCTTGAGTGTCTTTCAACTTTTTCATCCGTCTTAAGATATGGTTGAAAACCAATCTGTGCTTGACTCGAAGTACTTCCTTCACCGTTTGCTTGAGCATCTGCCATTCCTCCTTTTGAACTTGCTTGTACTTGAGAATTTGTACCATGATTCCAACCACTGCTTTGTGCACCTGTTGATGTAGCACCAGATTCTGAATCTAACTGAACCTGTGCTTGACTTTTTCCATAACCACCTGTTCCTTGAGCATTACTTGTAACACTCTCTTTACCACCATTAATTTCAGTTTGAACACTTTTATTAACATCAGTACTACCAGCTTGAGCTGAAAACGATCCAGAACCACTATATGTACCTGTTACTTGAGATTGTGCTGTGCCTTGCCCAAATTTTCCCTGGGCTGATGCACTTGCTTGAGTACCTGCATCAGTTTGTTTTACAGTGCTAGATGCCTGAGAATTGGAGTTATCGTCTTCTCCAGATGGAAGAGTACCTGGTTGCTGATAATATTGAGAAGTTTCTCCAGCATTCGTTGCGAGTCCTACTTTAGATGGATATTGTGATTCTGGATATTGCCTGATATTTTGTCCTTCACTTGGATATTGCTGAGCAATTGGTTTTTCACCATTTTGCCATATTAGACTACCAGGATATTGTCCTTGTGGATAAGCAGGATATTGGCCTTGTTGCGGATAAGCAGGATATTGTCCTTGTTGTGGATAAACGGGATATTGTCCTTGTTGTGGATATGCAGGATATTGTCCTTGATGAGGATAACCGGAAGGAATTATTGCATGAGTATCAATTTGTTGTCCAGCAGTTCCTGGGTATAAGTTTGCAGTACCTACACTCGTTGGTATAGTACCTCCAGTATAAGTGCTACCTCCTTTTGATACTGTACCTAATGGTTGTGATCCTGGTACAGTTTCCCTTAATTGACCAGGTGGTAATGAAGTACCATCAGGATAGCCAGTTACAGTACGTCGATCTGCAGTATCACTAGGCAAAGTACCAGGTGCTGGTACACCAGAGTATCTAATTCTATCTCCATTTATACCGCCTCCATCAACAGTAGGGTACATTACTTCACCTGGAAATTTAGCACCAGGAATCTGTCCATTACGATATATTGCAGTAGCATCTGCAACGGATTTCGATTCTATTTGCCCTCCTGTGCTACCGGGGTACACTACACCACCAGTACTTGTGATACCAGGTATAGTGCTAGGATAAACGACACCACCACCAGTTGCAGTACCAGGTATACCCCCAGGATAAACTGTACCGCCACCAGTTGTTGTAGTACCAGGTACTCTACCAGGATAAACTACACCACCACCAGTTGTAGTACCAGGTACACTTCCAGGATAAACCACACCACCACCAGTTGTAGTACCAGGTATACCTCCAGGATAAACGACACCACCACCAGTTCTAGTACCAGGTATACCTCCAGGATAAACGACACCACCACCAGTTCTAGTACCAGGTACACCCCCAGGATAAATTACACCACCACCAATTGTGGTACCAGGTACACCCCCAGGATAAATTACACCACCACCACCAGTTGTGGTACCAGGTACACCACCAGGATAAACCACGCCACCACCAGTTGTGGTACCAGGTACACCACCAGGATGAACCATGCTACCACCAGTTGTGGTACCAGGTACACCACCAGGATAAACCACGCCACCACCAGTTGTGGTACCAGGTACACCACCAGGATGAACTATGCCACCACCAGTTGTGGTACCAGGTACACCACCAGGATAAACCACGCCACCACCAGTTGTAGTACCAGGTATACCTCCAGGATAAACTGTACCACCACCAGTTGTTGTAGTACCAGGTACTCTACCGGGATAAACTACACCACCATCTGTTGTCGTACCAGGTACACCTCCAGGATAAACTGTACCACCTCCAGTTGTAGAACCAGGTACACCTGCAGGATAAACTGCACCACCTCCAGTTGTAGAACCAGGTACACTACTGGGATAAACTGTACCGCCATCGGTAGTTGTTGTGCCAGGTACACCTACAGGATAAACTGTACCACCTCCGGATGTAGTGCCAGGTATACCACCGGGATAAACTGTACCGCCTCCAGTTCCTGTAGTACCTGGTACACTTCCAGGTACCACAGGATAAGATACACCACCTGAATAAGGTCTTCTTCCATCTTTTATTAAAGTACTTGGTGTAAGGTCATGAGGGTAAGTAGTACCTGTTGAAATATCAAGAACAATTATATTGATAGGGACGAAATTTTCTATTAGATTCGATCAATCAAGAATGTTTTATTGAATCTTACCGTCTTGTTTTGGTAGAGAAGTTCTAGCATAATCAGTGCCAGTGCCTGGATGTTGAATATATCTATCTGGTGCAGTTTCGCTAGTATATTTAGAACAATCTTCGCACCCGATACTACCAAATGACATACTTTGCGCTTGTCCCATACCCCGACTTCCACCTTGAAACAAATTTCAATCATGTAAATCATTAAATCATGTAATGATATAATAGAAAGATGTTTGAAATACTCACTAACGACTGAACGAGAAGATTGTTGAGTAGCTTCAGCTTCAGCTTTACCTTCTTTTTGATCATCGGTACCAATACTCAAGTACTGAGATTGAGTTTGTCCTCGAAATTTTCCTTGCGGTTGTTGTGCTTCGCGTCTTGAACGTTGTTGATTAAAATACTTATTAAGCTCTTGCCGTTTTTCAAGCTCGATTTGTCTTTTAGCCCTATTTATCAGAGGCGTTAAAACTATATCGGCTACTCTTCTTGTCGCGATATCGTTTTCATCATATGGAAGTATATTAAAAAAGGGATCAACGGTTTTCTCAGGAATCGGTATGGTGTTTTGTAATAGAATAATATTACGACCCCGACAAAAATCAACTATTCTACCCCCTGCAAGTTGCCATGCCTACAAAATAAATTGGAAATATTAGTGAAGAACTAAAATGTAGATTCTACAATAATTGCATCATGGTACCTCTAATTTTGTCAAGGTTTCATCAGACACATAAAATGTTTTTGAAATTCGATTTCGTTGTTGGAACTTAGTATTTGGATATTCTTCTGAAACAACATTGTCATCTAACTTCTCCAAATAACAGTTGTTTTCTTGTTTGTCTTTGTACGCTCTATAATGCTGTGAACGAGTTAGAAATAAATATCATTTATTTATATAACTTTTGAAGGGATAGTTATTTATTACCGTTTCGGAATCAGTAAATATCCATGATTTCTTTACAATTGATGGTTCGGAATTTGCTTGGATGGAACGATCGAAACGTCTCTTCTCCTGTAAATAAATAATAAAATATTAGATGGGGAAATTGTTATAATTTCATTAAGTTTATTTATCTTTTTTTTAAGAAAGATACGAAACGATAAACTTTCTTAAAGGAAAAGTATTAAACAGAGAAATTGGAAATGGGTCAAGCTGTTTCCTATCAACTTATCTTATGAACTTTGATCTCCAAATCTTTCTTCCAACCACTTACTGCGGAGTCGAATGAATTTCATTAATTACGAAAATTCATAAATTATTATTTACACGTATATACGTATAAATTGCATATTTAATTACCATTACAATATTACAGATTACCATTACAGATTTAAACTATTTTAAAATAACAAATACCTATATATGTATTTTAAATATTAATATAACGATTTAGAAATTTGTTGTGTTTATTAATTAAATATTTCATTACTTACATAGTATTTCGAGAACACCGTGCCCGAGAAACAAATTAGGATAACAAAGATCAGCCGCATCATTCCCATTTCTTCG